TCTAAAACAATTTACCTAAAATTACTTCAAAAGACCATCCTGGCTTCTTTTAATCTCTAAAAGACTTGTTACATAATTTCAGTTACAAAACTAAATCAATTTAAACCATAGTTGTGTATCTGAATAAAAGCCTCTTTTACCTCAAACATTTGTTATCCTGAGTTTATATTAGCCTGAGCCATGAAAGCAACCATAACACCATTACTTTTGACCTGGGCTATATGCCTATTCTTTTTTACAGGAAGTGTTTTACAACTAACCACAATTAAACATAACATAATTCCTTACTTGCTGAGTCAATCAAAATTATTGAAAAAATAACTCAGTCCTTCAATGGTCTCTGTAAAAATGTCCATCACATTTGATTTGATTTATTATTGTCATGTCTACCGAGATACAGTGAAAAGTATTGCTTTGCGTGCTAACCAGACAAGTCATACCTTACATAAGTATATCAGGGTAATAGAACAGAATGGAGAATATAGTGTTACGGCTACAGAGAACACACAGAGAAAGATCAACTCTAACATATGAGAGTTCATTCATAAGTCTAATAACAGTGGGGAAGAAGCAGTTCTTAGACATCGGTGTAACTTGCACGTAGTTGCTATCAGGCAATACACTACGTCTTGTTTACAACAAGAGCCGCTACTCATTTAACTACCAAGTGGTTTTCCTCTATGAAAGAAGGCCAAGCAGACGATGACTCCCTGCTGGGAAATAGGATGATGGCAGGAAATCTACCACATAGCTCAAGATAACAGCAATCAGAAACACCTGACTGTAGAATAAGAGAGGAATTAAAACAGTAATCGTAGATATATACAGCCGTCCTGATGGCAAAAATTGAATTGCAGCATTTATTAATTCAGAGAGTAAAGAAATCTGTACAAAAAGCAAAGTTGTTGTAATGGAACGGTTCACTTTTCATTTAGATTGAAAAAAGCAGAGTAACATCACTGAGAAAGACAATGAGTTTCTTAAGCATATTCGGTCTAATACAATGTTAGGTTTTAAAAAGAGAAATTTGATTTAGTTACTAAGATTTTAGGTTTTGATCAGGCTAACTTTAACAGGACAAGATAGGTTCATGACTGAAGCTAGTTAAAATTGTTATCATACAAAGCTGCAAATGAACAATGGTGGGGGGTCGGTGGGGGGGATGGTGGGGTTTGCAAAAAGGTTAATTTGTATAGGAATAATACATATCCTAAGGAGAAAGAGCTCCATTTAACAAATAAAACAGTCATGATGAGACTATAGAGAGATAACATAAAATGAGTTAAGTGCAAAGAATATTGCAAGTCTAATGAAATGCAAGAACTAAAAAGTACAGTACAGGGCTACTGTGCCTTTAACTCAGTTGCTTGGACCACTGGTTTGCAATGTAGTTATAAGGGCTTTTATAGTGTAGTGGTGGTATACCTACCACTAACCCAGGACACCTAGACTCAAGTCTCACCTGATCTAGTGGTCATAATAATATCATTGAACAGGTTGATTAGAAAATGTAAAGAAAGACAAAAAAAAGGTTAAGAACCGAAGGGGAATGTGAAAAAAATCTTGCAAGAAACATTGTAACGAAAACCTGGAAATTGTAGATTTATTAGTCCAACATCTGTTCTGAGAAGTATTTGGGATCTATAACTAAAGACACCTTGGCTGAAGATTTAGAGAAATTTGAGCTTCATAAACAGAGACAATGTGAATTGAATAATTTACTTAACCTAGAGCCGTTGTGTGGAATATTGGCAAAATATTGATGGCCTTACTGGTTTTGTGTTTGGAAGGGAATAATTATTTGGTGGGAGGGTGTTGAGTAGAGTCCATGCTGCTATCCCACCTTTGCCTGATTAAGTCCAGCGTATGAAGTCTTGTTGAAACGTTCCTGTCAAAACAATTAAGGCCCTTAGAAGGGCAATTAGTGCCACCAAAGGGCGTCATCGCACCATTATTAGTATTTAACATGGTAAGTAGAGTTGTGAAGTTGGGTAGTGTAAATGTGTTTATAGAGGCAGGACATTGGAATTTGGTGTTTGCAAAATATTGATGCTTGTAAAATGCTAGGGGTGGAAAGCATTGCATGGTCCCTTTAAAAGACGATGTGCTTTTTCTATGCTTAGAGATTCAAAAAGGATGTTTGTGGGTTTGCAGGTACACAGAGCACCTGAATTAAAACATTTGTATCAAAAGGCTGAACTGGTAGCAGGCAAAGCAGCATTTTCACCAAGACAGCAGGTTTGAATTTAGTCAATTAATTTAAACCAGGCCCTTCGATACCAAAAACCAATAAAATTTAAATCTGAGATAGTAACAACTGTAGATGCTGGAGTCTGAGATAACACAGTGTGGAACTGGAGGAACACAGCAGGCCAGGTAGCATCAGAGGAGCAAGAAAGTTGGCTTTTTGGGTTGGGACCCTTCTTCAGAAAATTTAAATCTGATAGATTTGACAACATAGGATCAATCCTATTGTATGAAATTGATATGTCAACAAGGCTATAAAAAATTAGGGCATTTGGAAAATCAGGAGAGAGCAAACTGTCATCTGCTAAGGGAATAGCTCTCAGCTACAAAAGAAAGAATCACTGGCTCTCACAGAATTCTCTAAACCTTAGAGTAAGCTCCATCTAAATTAAAGGTATCTACAGCACAAACAGTTAATCTTCATGACAAAAGAATTCGACAGAGAAGGCATTCCTGACAGAAGGATTCACCGAGAAGGCATTCCTGACAGAAGGATTCACCAAGGAGGCATTCCTAACAAATAATTCATCAGAGAAGACACAGACCATTCTGGAAGACGTAACCAGGCTGTAATTTTGAGAATCTAAATTCTAATTTTTCTTTATTTTGTTTTGTATAACTTGGTCTTGTATTTATTGGAACAGCATACCACTAGAATCTTGTTTCATTTGGAAATAGTTGGGAGTTGTTTCGTTTGTCAATAGTTCAGTTATTTTGTTCACTGTTAGAGTTGGATAAATAAATTGTTAGTTGTTGGTTATCGAGTGAGAGTCAGGAGTTTATTTCATGTAACCACTCCTTTATAACAGATTGGGGGTGAGATGCAAGTTATACCACTTTTCACAGCTCTTTTAACAGATTATAGGGCGAGGCAAACCTCTCTGGTATTTTGATTTTAGTTATCAGAGAGAGTTGGACCTCCGCTTTATAACAGTAGATAGGCTGAAAAACAAGCTCTGTCAGGTTTGTTTGTCAGCTACAGGAGGGTGGTGGCTTTCCCTCAAAAAATACTCAGTGCCTGATCAAAGAATGTAGCATCATCGTCTGAGACCCTGCGCTTCCCACACAGCCTGCACCTCCCCTAGTGGCATGGTTACTTCTTCAATCCAATCATTTGCTGGCTGCATTACTGGCAACAACCACTACATGCTGATGGGTAATGGGTAGCTGCCAGCCTCTAATTGGTCAACAGATTTCAAGGAGTGAGATTTCTACCCTCTGAGTGCTAAATCTTGGAAAGACCTAATGCTGGACAGTTAAGTGCTTGACGAACACATAATTCCAGCAGGCCTTCCCCAATAGATCTTACTGATTTACCCCAGCCAGTGTGCAAGAGCGCCATCAACAACATAAAATTTTAGTCTTTGAGTTGTTATGTCATAAGGCCATTCAATACATTGAGTCTGTGCTGCTATCCGTAGATTGTCCAATCAGTCCCATTTCATCGCTGAATCTTCAAAGGCCTGTAATTTGATGACACAAGAGCCAATGCAATTTCCTTTTGAAATTATTCATCTACCCTGCTTCCAGCACATTAGACAGCAAGTTTCAGGTCATTACGATTTGCTCTTCTTTACACTTCTCCTCTTACACTTCTCTTCTTTACGCTTCTCTCATACCACTTAAGAATTAACAATACTCAAAATTAGATACTTCAATCGTAAGCAGCCTCCTTCAGGCTCTCATGACGCTAGAGGTCTGTGACTGCCCCCTGGTCATTGTACCATCAGCTAATGGGAACAGCTTTTCTTTATCTACTTTATCTAATTCACAATCTTGGACATTTCTATTAAATCACACATCAACCTTTCAGAGTCAGAAGAAAAAGACCTTTTGGTGCAACTTGTCTATGCCAACCAATCTTCCAAAACTAAACTAGTCCCACATACGTATTTTTGGCCCATATCCCTCTAAGCCTTTCCTAGTCCTGTCCCTGTCCAAACGACTTTTAAATGTTGTAGCTGTACCTGCATTTAACACTTCCTCTGGCAGTTTATTCCACGCACAAAAACAGTTACCCCTCGCATCCTCTTTAAATCTTCCTCCTTTTCCTAAAGGACAAAACCCCATTTCTCCAATCCAAACTTCTGGCTAAAACTTCTCACTTCTGGAACTGTTCTGGCAAATGTCCCCTACCCCTCTGACCAGAAATTCACTTCATAAGCAGATGAAATGGTAGACGGGTAAACGTTTCTATGGATATAGCCTCGTAAATAAACTTTCAAAGAGAAAGTTTCCAGTTAAGAGTCTGGTAGTTTAAAAAAACTCGTAATCGAAGGCAAATTATTGGCCTGGTTGGTGATCAGTCAGGTATTTTTAATGATGTGGACATGCTGGTGTTGAGACTGGGGTGGCCAAAATCACAAGTCACACGACACCAGGTTATAATCCAACAGTTTTATTTGAAATCACAAGCTTTCGAAGCACTGCTACCTCAGATCAAGATATTTTTAAATTAGTAAATCGGAGGTAGCAAGAACTGCAGAGTCAATACAGTGTCGAGCTGGAGCAACACAGCAGGTCAGACTCAATAAACAAGTACATGGTGACAGGCCATGCACCTCTGCTCCACCCCAGGCCCCAAGAGGCCGGGCCGACTCTGACCCCGCTCCTGCCCCGCTCACACACCGCGGCCCCGCCCCACCCCGCCCGCGGACACGCCCTGACCGTTCCCCGCCCCCATTGGCGTCTCCACTGCGGCCGCGCCCCTCCGCTGCCCCACCCCACAGTGACTCCGCCCCCTCCCGCTGCCCCCACCCCCATAGCCCAGGGACCCGCTCGCGGTGCCTGCCGGGAGTCCTTCCCTGTGCTCCTTCAGTAAGATGGAGGAATCGGCCTTGGATGATTTTCTCAAGAGGAACCGGGAGATGGCGGATTGCAGTTTGGAGCGGCTCCGGGGCCTGTCCGAAAGTGACAAACACTGGACGGCGCGAAGGAGCTTTCTGGTCCGGAACCTGTCCGATTACCCGCGGGATCGCCTGGATTACTTGGTCGCCCTTTCCATGGTCTGGGCCAACCATGTCTTCATGGGTTGCCGGTAAGTGGGAGTGGAAGCCGGGGCTTCGCTCAGCTTCTGAGCCCCCTTGAGACTGTGGGGCACCCCGGGTGGAAGTGCGGACTCTTCGGAGGTTTCTGAGCAGCGAGGCCGCTGCTCCCCAGATGGGCCAGGGGCTTGGCTGCGAAACGAGACCGGTTATAGGCCTGGAATAACGGCCTCTTCTCCAGCAGTACCCCAGCCAAAGGGTTTGGGACACAATCCAATTCCCCTCGCCCTTGGGATCACTGAAACAGAGATTCAGCGGGAACATATAACGTTGTCATGTCTGTCAGGGACAGGACTTTCTTACCCCACACAGGCTTCGAATAAGCCATCAACAAGTGTCACGCATGCTACAACGTATGATTGTATTTTCAAAAATATTTCTAAAATTACGGCCGAGCGTTGCGGGTTGAGTAGAATGCAATCTTTTCTCTTCTTCGCCCGCCCCCCGAAATTATTCACCGAGATTTGCTGAATGTAATTTTCTGTAATGTGTATTTTAGTTATAGTGATCAGCTTATGGAAAAGGTTTTGGATATGGCGGATGGAGTTCATGTAGAAGATGCACCACATTTCACCACAAGAGATGAAATAATGAAACAGGTATTGTACAATAACGGCACAGACTTACAACAGTGAAGGAGACCTACAGCCTAGCTAGTCAGTGCCAGTAAAAAAAAGTGTCTAATTCCAGTTTCCAGCTTTTGTTACAGTACTTCAAGTGCCTATCCTGAGTTTCTTTCTAAATGTAGAAGTTTCACTTCTTCTACTTTTACAGGCGGATGCAGATCCCCATCATCCTCTGGATGTAAACATTTCCCAACAACTTCTCTCTCATCTTTCTGTCAACTACTTTGAATCTGTGCTTCCTGATTATTGACCCCTCTCTGCTGACAGACAAAAGTTCCCCCTTATCCACACTATCTAGGCTCCTCATAAATTCTATATATCTGTTTAAATATGCCTTCGGTCTCTCTGTTCCACTAACAGGCTGTTCTGTCCATAAACAAATGTGCTATGAACCATTTGTCTAAATGTTGAAAATATGGGTAAGTGGAAGTGACAGATCTGCAAGGAACTGATCTTCCAATTGCAGGCTGTCCTTTGCTGGCATTTAGTGAATTTATCAGCAGAAATGTAGGAGAGAAACAATCTATGATTGGCAGAGCAATGAACATCATGAAGCTAAGTCACTTATTTTGCTTTTATAGCCATTTCCCTCCCACATAATTGCTGGCCATAAAGCAAAACAGGGGTCAACTTAGTGAAAAGGGTTTGGAGGCCAAGAGGAACCAGAGGCCAGAGCCACAGGGTGAGTTGGAGTTTCTGACAGAGAGGACTGAGGAAACATGTCGTGGCACCTTTTCAGCCATCCTAAATTCCTCGTCAGTGGTAAAAAGTTCATATGTCACTGTGTAAGAACGAGCGAGCCTGCTGAGAGTGACTGTAGGTGTGTGTGTGAACCCTGAAACTGGAAGTGAGCTGGACATGCACATGGCTTTCCCCTCCTCCTTCCCTAAGTACCTATCCGGAAAGCAGGCCAGGAGAGAGAGAAAACTCCTCCAGGTCAGTTCAGAGTGTTTGCCACCAGAGGCAAATACAAGATCAATGTTAATTAAACTCAACTCCCTAGCTCAGCCCCAGTCTCCAGCTGCTTACCTGGTAATTGGGACTAGGGCCTATTCTGCCTCTGGTTCGCCTTCAGTGAAAAGGCAAAATACATTATAGCGTTTAAAAGCTGTGCTGCTTGTTACTTTTAGTGGTCATTTTTTTAAAACTGATCAAATTATTGACTCTTTCCTAAAAATTCATGTTTGATGTTACGCCAAACGTGATCTTTAGCGATCTGTACATAGGCACCTTGCCTGAGGAAAAATGAAACGTGGCCTATCATGTGAAAAGGTTGAACAACCAAGCTTTTGTTTTGAAAGCTATGTAAATGTGTGATCATTGAGTGTTCTATAGAGCTTCCTTTCAAAAATTCAACTGTTCTCTATATTAAATATTTCAAATTGACAATTTCAATGGTAACATCCCCAATATATTTATTCTCCACTCACTTTACAAAGATCCACTTAATATTAAAAATCTGATCATCTCATGACCTTTCCAGTCCATTAGAATTTTATGACAGATTTATAATAGAATGGGTTTCACACCATTAATTTTGTTCCCACAACCTGTTGAACATTTTATCTTTCCAATATAAAATTATATTTGAAATAGTTGTATTTTAATGGACTTACATATGTCCATTTGCCAACTGTCTAGTTACCTGATGACTTTAGTTTTAAATCATAGAATACCTACAGTGTGGAAGTAGTCCCATCAGCCCACACCGACCCTCCAAAGAGCATCCGACCCAGACCCATCTCCTAACCTATCCGTGCATTTCCCACCCTAGATACTATGGGCAATTTAGCATAGCCAATCCACCTAAACTGCACATCTTTGGACTGTGGGAGGAAACCAGAACACCCAGAAGAAACCCATGCAGACACGGGGAGAATGTGCAAACTTCACTCAGACAGTTGCCCAAGTCTGGAATCGAACCTGGGTCCCTGGTGCTGTGAGGCAGCAGTGCTAGGCACTGAGCCACTGTACTGCTACCGGAGTGGAGTGTGTGTTCACAACATAGGGGATAGGGCACAAGTATGATCCTTCTATATTGAAACCACTTCTGAGTTTTTCCATAATTAAACTTGAAAGCACAGGGCACAAGTTAACACATAATTAAATATATTAAATTATTTATTGATGTGTTAAAAATGGCAACAAATTTAGCTACTAAATATTGAGCTGAACGTGTATACAGAAATCATTGATTCATTAATACGTCATAGAATTGATAAAGAAGAGAATTGTTGTTGGCATGACCTCATTTACATGCTCATTTTTGAGAAAGAATGCAACAGCAGTTGCCAGGTGATGGACAGTGATTGATAGGCATATAGGTTTCTTGCTCTGATTTTGCACATACATGTGGGCTCTTCTAGCTCGTGATGGTGTTGGCCACAAATGCAGCTCTTTAAGTGGATACAAAGATCTATTTATGATCTTGCTGTCTCAAAATAGTTTGAGGGTGAAATTGACTCCACAGTATAAAGAAGCCAACAGATTTCATATTATTTCCTGACCTACACTAGATTTCGATTTCCTCACACTGTTGTGGTCAGTGTGCATACTGGATATATATTTTTAGGTTGGTGGAAGGTTCATATTGAAAACATTAGTTCTCAACAATGCACTGATTGGATTCCTATCTGATAAATGCTTGATATGTCTGTGTTCTTGAACAGAGTACAGTGTGTTTGTTATCTTTTTTTTAAATGTGATAAAGTCTAAGATTTCAAATATTTAAAGGCTTGGATGCTGAATTAAATACCCTTGTGACTGAAAATATATTGGATGTATTACAAAATTTCAGTTGCATTATATAAATAATCTGTATGGTATGTGATTAAGGATGAACTCTGAATCCTCCATTTAATCACTTTAGATCTGTGCATTTTTTCGAACCAATGATTGAGAATGCATATGACGGTAATCTTAATCCTGTCATATTTAAAATTTTGTTCTTCAGCCATTTACGTTGTGCTTTGATATATACAATATCTACCTTTTTATCTAGATGTGTTAACATTTTTCCACCAGATAAGACAGGAAATTCCACAGGCTATGGTAATGAAAAACTGGTGTGAAATGCATTCTGCTATTGAGTTATAACAGGCAGACTCTGAGGAAGTTAAGTTCTGAGATGTCAGATTTTTAATATTTCATGAAACATTCTAAAGTGAACAGAGAACAAATGTATTGGGCGTTGAATTATCTCATGAGAAATCCAAGTGGCAAATGATAATACAAAGTGACAATGTTACCACAGTGGAACTTGATGCCATTTTATTCCCCAATCAGTGTGATAGGTGGAGGAAAAGTAGTACATTTATTTATGTCTTCTCACCTAAAATCTCATACTTTGCACTTGAATACAGAAGTCCAGGCTGACACCTCAGTATAGTGTGGAGGTGAGCACTGCACCATCAGGGGTGCCTTTATAGGAAGAATGTGAAAGATCCCATGGCACTATTTTGAATGAGTAGTTACTCCAAGTTTTGAAGCCAAAATGTGTTCCTTAACATCAAAAATCACCTGGTCATTATCACATTATTGCTCATAGGAGTTTGATGTGTGCAAATTGGCTGCTGGATTTGTTATATTGCATCTGTAATTACACTTAATAATGAATTGCCTGTAAAGTACTTCGACATCTCAGATGATAATGAAAAATACTGTATAAATGCAAGCTTGTTTTTTCCTTTCAGAGAAAGTAAAGAGACTACGCCAGGACAGAGGTCTTTTGATGGAACTGCAGTTTATACTGTAACCTTCCCAGGAGTTGCAGAGAAGACATACTGAGATTACTGAGTCTAAAGTACCCAGTGAGACAAAGAATCAAATTTATTGCAGATTTCTAATCTGAATCTAGTACCAGATTCTATTTAGTATGGTTACATTGTTAACCATAACGATTGCAGAAGAGTTGTGTAGTTCTTTTACACAGTTGTAAATGGGAATTGGGCACAGACCTGCTTAGGGAGTGGTTGGAACATTGTAAAATATTTTCATCCAGGGCTCAAAATGTTAAATGATTTCAGAGTTGGCATTAAATGTTTGTATGAATTTATCAGTTAAATTGATGACCAAGCTATTCCCTGTATTCGTGGGTCAAAGTAAAGTAATTGCTAATTACGTGATGCTGCTTTTTGCAGGAGAAGAAAAGTGCTTTTCTATTTAGAGATAGTGGGAACTGCAGATGCTGGAGAATCTGAGATAACAAGGTGTAGAGCTGGATGAACACAGCAGGCCAAACAGCATCAGAGGAGCAGGAAGGCTGACGTTTCGGGCCTAGACCCTTAGGCCTGCTGTGTTCATCCAGCTCTACGCCTTGTTATCTCTGCTTTTCTTTTTAAACTGTTTGGAGCAGGTACTTACTACATTTGGAAAAGGAATATTTTAATGGAATTAATTTCATCTGCATTTCACAAAATAAATTGTATGATGTTGTTTGGCATTTAGAAGAAGGTCCGACATCTATTTATAATCTTGCTGTCTCCAATTAGTAAGTAGATAAAATTGAATTTAAGGAGCCAGTATATTTATTGTTATTTCCAGACCTGTGCTGAGTTCCCATTTCCCCATTCTGTTCTCGCTAATGTGTATATTTGGATTTTTTGGGGTAGACACGCAGTTTGATAGTGAATACATTAGTTTTTAAATATTCATCAGTTGGATTCCTACTTTGTTGTAAAAGTCTGATATAGCTGTTCTTGACCAAAATTTGATGTGCTATTTGTTATGTGTTATGATTTCAAATGTTTAGAATCTTGGATGCCCAATTAAACACCCTAATGACTGATAGTATCTTGGATTTATTTTGTGGTAATGATTCTGTAGTATCTATGAAATGCCACAGAAATAGGTGTGCTGAGTGATTAAGGATGATCTACAGGTGGACAGTTGGATCATTTTAGATCTATGCCCTTTTTCAATCAGAGTTACACTAATACCTTGTCATAATTGCAATTTTGATCTTCTGTGGTTATCTGATTCATTTTGATGTAGAAAATATCTACTTTTGTCTCTTGTTTTAAATTTTTGCATTGGTTTTGTTAACAGTATGAGCAGGATCTTAATTATATAATTTCCCAAGGCAATAAATTGACCTCAAATTATGTTTTTAGTCTGTATTTTTCATTGATTTAGAATTTGTTATTAATTTAATATGTTTGACATGAAATTCTGTTTATTTGATTGCATTCATTATACATCTTGTATTCAAATATTGGTCTGAATAACCTAATGATTGAAAATGAATAAGACAAGATCTTATTGATTTAAGCAGTCAAACTAGGTACTGATGGATCTCTTAAGAGCTAGGTCTTTTGTCTGCTCAGTGCTGATGTCATTGAATCACGTAAGATTCATAAGGAGTTTGACAGAATAAATGTTGAGAAGCTGTTTCCCCACACAGGAGAATCTAGGACCAGAGGGCACAGTCTCAGAATAAAGGGACATCAATTTAAGATTGAGATGAGGAAGAATTTCTTCTGAGGGTTGAGAGTCTTTGGAACTCCTTGCCGCAGAGAGCTGTTGGAGGCACAGTCCTTGTGTATATTTAAGGCTGAAATGGATTATTGGTCAGTAGAGGAATCTAGGGTTATGGGAAAACACAGGAAAATGGATGTGGGGAATGACGGATCAGCCATGATCCTATTGAATGGCAGTGTTGGCTCAAACAGCCAGATGGCCTATTCCTGTTCATATTTCTTATGGTCAGTGCTGTGCAGTAGTAAGATGTTGGAGGATGGTGGGAATCTGGAACTCCCTGCATGTAGGGATGATCAAGGCAGAAGCCCTCATGACATTTAAAATGTATTTAGCTGTGCACTTGTGATGCCTTGGCATACAAGGCTCTAGGCCAAGTGCTGGAAAATGGGATTAGAATAGTTAGGTGGTTGTTTTTGGCTGGCATGGACACAATGGGCTGAAAGGCCTTTTTCTCTGCTGTAGATCTCTTATGATTCTCTGTGCCATTTAACTCATTCAGTGAAAGCAGCATCCATATGCACAGTTGTCATGGCTCTATCAACCTCAGCTCCCTGACCTTTGATAAGATATGTCTTTATTAAGAGCGAATGTACAATTTTTGAGGTCTTTTGCTCAATTTATTTGATGCTAAGTATCAAAGATCACTTAACATAGAACAGTACAGCACAGGAGCAGGCCATTCAGCACACCATGTCTGTGCCGACTATGCCGTTCTAAACTAATCCCATCTTTATAAGTGAAGTGTTAACACTTGATGTTGAGTGTACCTTCATGTGGCCAATGTTTGGCTACTTCAAGTGAAGTATTGAATAGAAGACTTGATTTGAGTTTTCATAAGATTTTTTCCCAGACTTTGGAAAGTGATAGTGTTTATTGTGTGAGGCTATGGCTCAGATTATAAATGTAGCAAAGTTAATGATTAGTATTTCTCAAATGTTTAACCTATATTGCATCTTTGAATGCAAAAAGTAATAAAAGACACAGTGCAGAAGTTCATCAAAGCTCCTTAGACATCACCTTCCAGTCCCATGACCACTACCCTCTAGAAGGTCAAGGGGAAAAGATACATGGCAACATCACTACCTTTAATTTCCTATTCAAGAAACTCATTATTCTTACTTTGAAATATATCACTGTCTCGAGTGTCGCTGGGTCAAATGCCTGGAACTGCCTCCCAATGGTATTGTGGGTGCTCCTATATAAAATGGACTGCAGCAGTTCAAGAAGGCAGCTCACTGCCACTATCTTGAGGGTAACTAGGGATTTGGTGATAAATGTTCACCCAGCGAGTGACACACACATTCCATGAATGAATTTTTAAAAATGGAAAGTAAAGAGCACAAGTTCTCCAGCTTGTTCCTAAAACTGCTGGCTGGGTCTTGGCATATTTGAGTCTTCCCTCGCATCTCTCTGATAATTCCTCAGCTCCTGTGGCAATATGACTGAGAAGTTCAATGTCAGAAGGCACATGACACCAGATTATAGCCCATCAGGTTTATTTGAAATGGCAAGCTTTCAAAGTGCTGCTCCTTCGTCAGGTGACTTCAACCGATGAAGGAGCAGTGTTTTGAAAGCTTGTGATTTCAAATAAACCTGGTGTCGTGTGACTTCTGACTTTGTCCGTCCCAGTCCAACACCTGCACCTCCACATCATGGAGAAGTTCAATGGTGAGGAAAAATCTAATCTATGCACGTTTGTAGCACTATGCTGCCACCCAATGTCTAATTGTTCTCTGATTTGGTGGGGTTTTTACCATTTGTACTTAGTGAAATGTTTCCTATTTATGACTTGTTACGAGGAGTATTGTTTTTTTAAAAAAAAGTAGTTGGGAGCAGGCATAAGCCATTCATCCCTTTGACCCTGTTCTGGTATTCAATTAGATCATGGTATCATGCCTCCTAACTTCCTGTGGCTGGAATTTATTGACTATAAAGTACTTTGGGATGTCATAAGGGCATGTATGAAACTATATAAATACAAAATCTTTCTTTATTTTAACCTTAATTTAGTTAATTAACTTCACTTCATATCTATTGTTACCCTCACCTAAAAAAGCATACAGAACCGAATCCACTTTCCTGTGGTGCTGATTTCTGTTCGGGTAGTTCCATAGGCACTGAACATCAGCTGGCAGTTTGTTCTTGTGCCTATCTTAGTGCATTCCAACAAGCTCTTTCAGAGTGCTGGATATCACAGCAGGATCCATCACTTCTTTACCTGGTATTTGCGTAGCCTCACTCTGCAGGAATTCTGACTGACTTAATTTCACTTAGCCCTGAGAAGCTGATGCAGATTTTAAGCCATGCTGCTGCCTGGCTAAGAATAACTAACTCAATGCAGCCTGGCTGTATTAGCATAAGGTTACACCATGTGATGTTTTTAACCAACAAAGTCAGTGGGGAATTAAAGTGATACATTTGGGTATATTATTGGAGGTCAACACATGAAACTATAGGGTGATTGGGTACAGGTTTAGTATCTCTTCCCTTATCTATTTCTAAGCAGAAACCAAAACCTGCCTCGAAGAGAAAACAAGAATATTGATACCAACTTGCTATTGTTGAACACAGCATAAGTAACCAAGCAGGAAACTCGTTTGGCTAGGCAGCTGGTTTACCGTGCAGCATGATGCCAACAATGCAGACTTAGTTTTGTATTGGTGGAGGTCCTGCTGCTTGCCTAAGGTGCGGTGACCTTCAGATTAAGCTCACCATCAGTTGCTCCGCTCTCTACTGACAGAATGGGACTACAGCAACTTTACCTTTTAATTAACCCAGACCCAGCAGCAGACATTGATGAATGAAATTTAAAATTACTTTTTTTTGCAAAATATTAAGTCACTTTAATTTCTCTCACAATGTTAGATGGGAGATGTTATCACCTAACATAGTTACAGTAGCACCTAAATTCATGCTTCCTATCCTGTCTGCTTGGAGTTAGTATCTCAACTATATGTAGCCTCTCTACAGATATGCATGGCCAAAACCTGTGCACCCCTAAGTAAACACTGACAATAAATATTTCTGAAGAAGGGTCCTGACCTGAAAGGTCAACTTTCTGCTCCTCTGCTGCTGCCTGACCTGCTGTGTTCCTCCAGTTCCACACTCTTAACTATGGGTAATATTTGTATTGTGCCCAACATTCTTTTTTAAATTATTCTGTGTTATATTTGTTCATGTAAAACTCTAGGTAGTGAGACTTTTAAATTAGTCACTGTAGTTGCTAAGATTGTCTTTGTCTTTAAAGATCTTTTCAGTAGATGAACTACACAAAGATGAATGGAAGCAGATCCATCCATAAATACATTGTCTGCAATCAATACGTGAGAGGTTATGCCAGAGAGGGCTTTCAAGAGATTTTTCTTTCACATCCTCTGTCTAGCATGCTACTGCTTGAACTCCTCATGGCTATAGATAATGTGCTGTCATTCTGCTGATTGGCTGATTAGCATATTCACTTGTTGCAGCAGTAACATGACCCAAGGTGTGGAAAACCGTCAATCAGCACCACACACAAAAACAATTATCTGGTCATTACCAAATTGCTTTATTGTGGGAGTTTTTTGAGTACAAAAAGGCTGCTATCTTTCCTACTTAACAACAGTGACTTCACTTCAAAGGGTCAATCACTGGCTGTAAAGTGCTTTGAGATGTCCTAAGATCATGAAAAGTGCTACAACAGTTAAAGTCTTCCTCATGTTCCAATGTAGATTCATCCAATTGATTCAATTAAGGTCAAGAAGCGGGACTTCCATGGTTACCTCAACCAGTATAGAGGTCACACTGTGATGCTGTTCAGAGGGTTGGTGTAGACTCAATGGGCTGAATGGCCTCTATCTGCACTGTATGGATTCTATGATTTTAATTCACAGTTGGACATGGATCTGATTTAAATTACTGACTACTGTCACTTTAGAATCTTTGAATAATTATGGCGGAGTAGATAATTCAGGCTGTTGAGCCTATGCTAGTTCTCTGCTAGATAATTAAGCTAGTTGCACTCCCTGCTATTTCTCCATAGTCCTGAAACTTCTTTCTCAGGTGTTCATCCAATTCTCTTTTGAAAGCCATAAAAGCATCTATTGTACCACACTTTCAGCCAGCACATTCCACATCCTAAATATTCACTGCTGAAAAGTATTTCTCGTGTTGCTAATTTTCTTTTCCTATTAACCTTAAATCTAGTCCTTGGCCCTTATGTCAGTTGGAATACTGTCTATCTCCTCTGATTAAACCACTCATCATTTTTAACATCACTCTACTATATTCTCTTGACCTTCTCTTCGCTAAGGACATCTACTCTAGCTTATCTAATTTGACCCCATAACTGAAGCCCCTCATCCTTGGAAGTATTCTCATTCACCTTTTCTGTAGCCTTGTAGCAAGGCCAAAAATACTCAAATTGAGTTGGTTCAGGACTGACAACAAATATAGAAAACAAATTCAATGCCATTGGAAACTAAGAAAGCAAAAACAACTTTGTGAATTTACCCTCCCAGAAATCATAGCATTGACCATGGCAAAAACTTAAGAGCAAGCTAATGTAATTATATTTCCTATTGTGTACATCAGCACACAGACTGGTGCAATTCCATCATGTGTGCCATTTTGTTTCAGTATAATC